TTTAAATCCTATCAACTTTTAATGTTAAATATAATTAAGTCATGCTCAGGTGTGAGTTAAAAATAATGACATTTATAAATACAGAAAGGCTAAGGCAGTTTAAGCCTCACAGATCTATACACACAGACATGTTAAAGAAGCCAGAAGGGACACTGGGGAGGTGGTCCAGTGGTTAAGGCATTTACCGTGCAATCAAGAAGAGGAAAAAGACCAAAAGAGTACCCAATTTAAAGATATTTTTATCTGTGGGAACTTTTAAATATTCTTTATTAAAATGGATGAAAAAGGAAATTATAGTGGAAAATGTGCTTTGCACTGAGATAATGAATGTAAGCTGGGCAATGGTGGTGCATGCCATTAATCTCAGCACTCAGGAGGCAGAAGCAGCCAGGTATCTGTGAGTTTAGGCTAACCTGGTCCACGCAGACAAGAATCAACTAAAAAAAGACAGCAATAGCCTATACCCAGTCAAGAAACTGAAATAATAACCAGAAAGTCTTTCCCTTTCTTTTCCCTTGCAGAAGATACCAAGACCATCATGGTTTTACAAAGAATAAACTGTCCCTCATGTCTTCACACATAAGTTTACTGCAGGAGTCAGAGCCTGCTTCTAAACCCAGGAAGAGAGCAGCTTAGCCAGTAAATGCATGAGACTCAGCAAGCCTGCACACTGACTGCCCCAGAGTATTTTTAAGAAGGGAAATGGCACTGTGACAGCATGCTAAGAGTAGTTTCATATGGTTTCCTAGTGCATGTGCAGGATTGAAGCGAGCACTTGCCTGTGCACAAGGCCTCATTTTCCATCTCCAGCACTGCCACAAGGGTGGAGAAGGGGGAGGGGTTGATTGAATTGGTGACATAAAAAACAGAAACTCCCATAATTAACCAAAGTCCTTTTAAAAGAGAATTTGAATTAAAGGGGATACAGGATTTCCTTGGTTTGATGAAGGGAAGATAATGAAAATCTAGAGTGAGCTTCATGTTTAATGGTGAAACTTCAGAGGCTTTTCCATTACAACCAGAAGAAGCAGTGTGTATTGACTGCTCCTGTTAAATAGCACCCCAGTGTTTAGGCCCTGGAATAGCAGATAAATTGGGAAGTTAAGCCAATGTAAGATGCTAATGGGAATAAACTGTGCTTTGAGAGAAATTCAGTGGGGGGCATTGAGGCTGAGCTCTTGTGACTACAATGTGTAGTCACACAAATGGTCAGGTCAGTTGTCGTCGATGGCTTCTGTCTCGCTTAGCCTCCTTAATTAGCGCCAGTAAACACACTGTTCTACAGTACTAGGAATACTTCCTTCTCATTTAGCAATTGTGTTCAAAGATTGTGCAATTAAACTGACAAAATTGTTCTAACCACCACAAAGTGGCTTTATTGGTTTTAAATTTTTGGAAAGAAAACAAAAATATCCTACTCTAGCTCACTCTTCAATCTAGCAACTGTTCTAACTGCTGTTTTAGGCAAAAGTAGAATGAAGTGAAGTGGTACGAGTTAGAAAACAGATGGGAGGATTTTTTGAGATAGTAAGATCTCTTACATTTGAATCCTAATTTAGGGTGCCCTAGTCTAAATTTAAATCTGTTCCAGTTTTGGATCTCTTCCTAAGGCTTTAAAGTACAGACTGCTCTGCCAGATTCAATCATGGCTTTTAAATCCAAGGTAACACTGAGAGATTTAGTACCAGTCATTATTTACTGGTAACCCAGGCAAAGCCCACGCATGTGCTATTCTGTGTGACTCACTGTCCCCTTCCTCTCCATGGTCTCACTTTACAATTGCTTACCACATTTTATGGATTGTTTATCTTTCCTATTCTGCTGGGAAGCCAAGATACTCTTGTTGAATAGATTGAAAATGAGTAGAGACATGAATCACAGAGAGTCTAGGGATTTGTTTAGGAACAAAAGGTAACATTAGAGTTGAATTGTTTTCATGTAGTTTTCACATTGTTCCTATACTTTAGTGTTTAGGGTTTGCTCTTAGATTCTTCTTCTCTGTTCCAAGCATGGCTTTTATAGTCTGTAGTATTCTTCCATGTGTATCCTAAAGCTGTTGTTTTTCTCTCTCAGCTTCGATGAGACTAAAGGTTAATATTTAAGGGAGAAGCTTCCTGCTTGCTGTTACTAGGTAAATCATGTCTGCCTCGATTCAGATTTATTGTGTCAACCTGACAGGATGGGGCAGGTGGACATTCTGCTGACCAGCAAGTGATTGTGGGGTTGGAGGCTGATGATGGATGGATGGATATGTCTCATGACAAATTAAGTCATTCCATGGACATGAGTGTGCAGGGTAAAACTGGGACCAGCAGATGGTGGGTCTAAGCAGTATCTGGTTTCTGTCTCAGCTATGAGATTTTCTGAGGCTGTTTTTTCATAGATGTCAGCTGGGACTGTCCACTAACTGCAGTACCCACTGGCTTTTGCAGTGGATCTGTTACTTTTTTTAGAATTTCTTCAGACTCACTTTCATGTATGGCTTTATATTTGCTTAGTGGTAAAATAAGGTATTCAAAAGCAGAATCCACTCTTGGGATTTGCTTGGTGGTAAAACATGATAATCAAATATAGTAAGATCCCTTTCTCCAGTTCTCGACTCTCTCCTTAATTCTCTGGTATACTAAACTTCTGATTCCTATTGGGATTAATTTGGGATTAATTACTGAAAGTTCTTCATGAGTTACAAAGGAAAAAAATTCCTTATTGAAAATCCAACACAGAATATAGAGTTATGTAACTTAAAATAGGCCTGCTGCTTTTAACTTTCCTTTGTAATATATCAGATAAAATGTATTTAACCCAAAGGATCTATTTAAATATTTTTGAGACAGTCTTTTTTTTTTAAAAATTTTTTTCTCAATACTTTCCTTTGTTTTCATAAGAAAATTAAGTTGTGCATGAACCTCAGAAATGGAAAACTAGCATAGCTTTGCAATTTAGTTTTTAGAAAAAAGCCTGAGTATAAGGGGTAGTGGTCTCATCACTGTATTGAAGGGGGAAAATGTTGAAATTGAAGGTATGGTAGTGAAAATATAGGATGTTCTACAGAAAGTAATGAACATATGGTCATTTTGATATTAAGAAATATGATAGTCAATTATGACATATTCCTTAAGGTGTCAAAAGGCATAAAGAATACATTTTGTATCTTTCACAAAAAGTTTTGAGAAAAGAAAGTATGTGTGAATACAAAGAAGGGGGTGGATTTTTATACAGATGATATTGTCAGTGTAACATCAGATAGAATATCTTTTCCTACTGCAAACATCAAATTTCCCATTTAAATAATTTTGATGTGTGAAGTCCACAGTGGAAGTGTACTCAGTTCATGGTACTCAGAACTCTACAATCTTGCAAACCTGGATCTGGTGGCATGAATTCCCACTCCACATCCTTAGCTCCAGGTAGCCCCTATTCTGCTTTCTATTTCTATGATTTTTGAAAACCTATTTTATCTCTTATAAGTGGAATTACATGGAATTTGACCTTCTTTGACTGATTTACTGTGCTTAGAATTGCAATCTCAAGACTCTTCCATGCTGTAGAAGGTGACAGGTTTTCCTCCTTTGCTTTGGACTATAACATTCTCATGTAAACACTGCTGTATTTTAACAATCCATTCATCTATCTATGAGTAGTTTGACTGTTTCTCCCTCTCTGATATTGAAAATAATGCTGGGACAAACATGTCCTGAATATTCTGCTTTAGCTGCTGTCAGATATGTATTCAGATATGGGCTGGTTTCTATGGCTGTTCGATTTTATTTATTTATATATTTATTTGTTTGTTTGTTTATTTTAAAACAATCTTTTCGCATTTTTCATACCAATCCCAGTTTCCACTCCCTCCCCTCCTCTTGCTCTACCCTCCTTTCTCCCATCCTCTCCTCCCATGTGGAGTCAATGAAGTCTGGCACATCACTTTGAGGCAGACCAAGGCCTTCCCCTCTGTATCTAGGCTAAGCAAGGTATCCCTCCAAAGAGAATGGGCTCCAAAAAGCCAGTTCAAGCACTAGGGTCAAATCCTGGTCCCACTGCCAGTAGTCCCACAGACTGAACAAGCCACATAACTGTCACCCACATTCAGAGGGCCTCGTTTGGTCCTATGAAGGTTACCCTGCTGTCAGTCCAGAGTCAGTGAACTCCCACTAGCCCAGGTCAGCTGTTTCTATGGGTATCCCCAAAATGGCTCTTATTATTGCTCCTGCTTCTCTTCAACTAGACTCTGGGAGCTGGGCCCAGTGCTTAGCTATGGATCTCTGCATCTTCGTCCATCAGTTGCTGGATGAAGGTTCTATGATGAGTAATTCAGATAGTCATCGATCTGATTACAGGGGAAGGCCAGTACAGGCACCCTTGAGACACGGTTTTATGTAGATCAGGCTGCCCTAGAACTCACTATATGACTGAAGCTGGACTTGAACTACTGACCCTCATTCCTTCCCCTCCCAAGAGGCTTAGAGATGTTCTTCAGAATTTAAGAGGAAAGAGAGATAGAAAGTACAGTTTATTGTCCATAGAGTGGAGGAAAAACCTAGAGGACACTGTTGGAATCAGTCCATATCCCTTGGAACACCAGATTGTACAAGAAAAGAAAATGACCATTTCCTCCATCTTTTGGAAACATTATGACATCTCTTTCCCCAGGTTTCCCAACAAAGTTCCAGGGCTGACTTTGATTTGTCTAATTGTGGTGTGTTCTCATCTCTGAAGTGATCACTGTAACTTATTAACCAGGCCTGGGTTAGGTTTCAGTTGGTTTGCTTTGTATTTTTTCTCATCTCTGGGGCTTATAGATGGGATTAGCTCCCCTTCAGTGAATACAGAGTAGGAGAGGAAGACCAGGGTGTAAGCCCCGAAAGAAGAAAGGGGTGCTGAGTAGCTAAAAAATAAATGCCAACTCTCTCCCCAAATCTGCTTACTAGGAAAGGGCTGTCCCTCCCCAAGAGTTGGATTATTTGGCCTAATGCTCCCTGCTTGCCCTGGTTTCGCTGCAGGTACCTTTTTCCCAAGTTCACACTGTGTTGGACTGAGTTTGTAGACATGAAAGTCCATGTGCCCTGTGAAACTGTTGACTACATTGAGGCCAACTATGGTAAGACCTGGAAGATTCCTGTCCAGACATGGGACTGGAAGAGCTCACCTCCAAATGTGCAGCCCAACGGGATCTGGCCTATTTCTGAGTGGGATGAAGTTATCCAGTTGTACTGAGAATACAAAGTTAAGGAGGGACATTTCCCAAAAAGAAGATGGGTAACTGTTTAAAGTGCTGCTGTCTTTTCACCTCACATGAGAGCCAAAGAAGATAAATGACAAATTTGAAGACAAAAATGTTCTAACTCATGGGCCATCTAATTAGCTCTGCCATTTGGCATTTATTGAGGAGTTTATTCACCAGGTAAAATGCTAGGTGATTCTGGTGGACAGGCAGAGATGGATGAGCAAATGCCTGCCTCTCTTGTCATATCTGTAAGCACTCCCGTTTGCTTTTAAGGGAGTCTCCCCGCCCTCTGAAGAGCTGATGTCCACTAAGAGGTATCCCATAATGAATCTTAAACTGTTAAGCAATATGTATACTGGAAAGTGAGCTCATCAGACAACACTAAGGAAGGGTACATTAGTAAGGAATGATTCATTCCTGCCTGCCCTTGAGATTGAAGCTGCTATGTTAGTGCCACTCTTTAAGATTAAAGAACAAGAGTTAGTTCTTCAGTGAGTGGTTTAGACTTTGTGTAACATAGAGAAAGATGGTGGCAGACTCATTTTACAAGCATTGTGATCCACAGTTGGCTAAAGCACAGCGTGGTTTATAAGGGAAGATAAGAGCTAATTTCAAGTCTTATCAAGACATATACTATTTTCATATTTGAACTGGGAAGTTGGTGCCTGTGTGATGCGTAAGTTTCCGACATCATAGGAATATCTTCACTGACCTGCATTTTTTACTTGTTGATAAGTCACTCAGTCCTGCTGTCTGAAAGTTGTGATTTTGCAAAGCTTGCTCTCCTTATTTCATTCTCAATCACTCCTAGATTTAAAAGAGAGGATGTATTCATGATATTTTCATATTTTCTGAACTTATAACTCTTCTGTAATTAATTTTAATATTGACACTAAATACTAATAGATATACCTGAGTTTTCTAAGTATACCCTTTATTTATTTATCAAACATAGCTCTGTTTCTTTAATTTATGACTTACATACTAATTTATTTAGCATAAAGATATGACTGTTCTTCTATCCAGTATTACCTCAGGTTTCCAAAATGGAGGTTTAATGTGAACCTGCTAACTCTTTGTCATTCCAAATCACTGTTTTTATAACCCATGTCCATCTCTAGATTTTCCTTCTGCTGAGTGTAATAGTACAAGGACTGAGACTTCCCTCCTCCCACATACTACACCTGCTGGACCTCCCTTGACCTCCCTTTTCTTCTCCAAATACACTCATGAATGCATTGGGTTAGCTGCACCCGTCTTTTTACCTGTACCTAAGTGATGTACTCTAAGTGTAAGGGAGTCTGGTGCAGTAAATGCTGCCTGATAGAGGATGCTCTCTATTCTCTGCTGTTTAGGGATGTGTCCCATGGCAGCCTGGTGGATTTCCCTTTGAAACTATAGTTATTCAAATGGAAACCAGGGAATGGTTTGGCAGAAATTTAAACAAAGATACCTTGGGGGAAGTCACCTGAGGCCACCCACTTCCAAACTTTAAAATCAACATGAAAACAACTCTGTTGGATGGTAAGCAGCAATTTGTGAGGATGCATCCTCCATGTGGGAATACTGAGTCTCATCATACCATCAGAATCAGATTTACAGAACTGTTATTATCAAACTTGTCCCCAAATTACAGATCATAAACAGTTCCTTCCTAGAAAATAAGTCCACCCTCTAACAGTGGAACCAGTATTTATCCCTAGTGCACAAATGGACCTTGGGGGTGCCCATTCCCTATGAAAGGATACTATTTCATTTGGAGGAGGGCCTAGGCCTACCACAAGGACAATCAGATTCAACAGAGGGCCTGATCAGGGGTAGGAACTCTGTTTATTGGACAAGCAGGGACTTTTATAGGGTTGGGGTAGAGGGTGGAACTCTTGGGATGGGGTAAAGCGACGTGAAGAGAAAGGGCCAATAATATTCCACCAAGGTAGTGGTTAGCCTTGCTGAGTCACTCCCATGTGGAGGTTTCAGGCCAAAGACAGGTTGCCAAACTTTAGCCAGGCTCAGGGAGTTCCATTAGGCCTCACGCCCAGACCTCTTTAGGCCCAACAGGACACTTCTTATCTTCCCTCTGGTTTGGCTTTAGGGTTGAGGTTCCATCCTATCTTGCAGAAAATGAAAGCCTTTCCCCAGAAATTGAAGGTGAGGCCTGCCTCTGAAATTGATCCCATGATTCAGTCACAGTGAAGCCTATGTTCCTTAACCTTTGAACTCTGCTGAATGTCCAGAGACCTTGGGTTAGGTACTCACACCCTGTACCTTCTCAGATCACTTTTCTTTGTTCCTCGAACATGCCAACTGCCCTCCTATATGACTGCTTTCTGCTCCCATTGCCTGGCTTGCTTGAAGATGCTGCTTCTAGTAACGTGGTGGTTATATAACCAAGGATGTCTCCAGAGAGACCCTGAAAAGCAAGTGCTTTCCCTGTTTGCAGCTGCCAGCCACTTCTCCAAGCATGGAGCACATGGCTTGCTTGTGGCTGCAGTTATTGACATCTGGTCGCTGAGATAAAATGATAGTAATCACATTGGACATCCCTAAGAATAGCTGAGCAGTTAGAGAGCAGGCTTCCCAGATTCCCTAGCTACAGACCCTGAAATGTGGCAGCTGTGTACTTAGTGAATCATTTATTCTAGCCCTCTTTTTCTCAGCCAGCGAGTAGTCCCAGGAAGGACTGAGTTGAGCAAAACAGCTGAGGCTGAGACCCAAGCATTCTGTGATTTAAGTCTGCTGCTGTCTGCACATGTGAGATCAGTTCTTACTGTGGCCTCCAGGACACTTCATTTCAGTCTCAGTGACACTAAAGGCCTGAGGTGACAAACACACTAAGGAAGAATGTTTCTTTCTTGTCCAGAAGTCTTAAGCTACTTTCTTACCTTTATGTGAAAAAAAAAAATGCCTTATCCAAAAGATAGAACAGTTTATGTTTGAAGACATCAGCCTGTGGTTCCTGACTCTTGAAATGTGAGGGGTTTTATTTTTTGCTTGTTGGTTTGGGTGTGGGAGGTTCAGGATAAGTTTCTCTGCATTGCTTTGGAACCTGTCCTGGAACTAGCTCTTTAGACCAGGCTGGCCTTGAACTCACAGAGATCCACCTGCCTCTGCCTCCTGAGGGCTTGGACTAAAGGTGAGCGCCACCACTGGCCAGCTGACTCTTAAAATCTTTTAAAGGATTATGAAACATAGGTGCTTCGGTTCAGGCCTAGGGTTAAGTAAGTTCTATGAAATGTGCTACTTCCTAGTTCCTGTTTCCTTGGTAATCATTTAGGTGAGGAGGATACACTGCCTTACTCAGATGGGTGCATGACAGAAGTTGCTTAGGAATAAAATTGGGGGCGGGGTACTGATGCAGTGGTTTGTTGGGTAAAAGCATTTGTTACCAAAGCTAACAACTTGAGTTTGATCCCCAGGACCCACCCATATAGTGCAAGGGGAGAACTGATTTCCACAAATTGTCTGTGACCCTTAAATGCAGGCTGTGTGTGGAGTGCTTGTATCTCCTCCCTAGCACAGATGCACACACACACAATAAGTGTAATGAAACAACCTTGTATGTACACACTACAGGTCAGATTATGTAGTTCATGAAGTGAGAGTCATTGCTGTATCACCTCCACCTGTAAACAGAGCTGTGTTTCCATTCAGGCAGGAATCGGCAGGGTATGTAGTACTACTGCTTTAAGTCACTTCACATGAGATTAAACACTAATTATAGTTAACTGTAGGCAAACAGACCACTTCAGTGTTAAGACCTTGTATATAGGACCCATAAGCACATACAAATTTTCTGAGAAATTTGTTTCTGTACCCTCTGAACACCTAGGCTAGAATTTGCCCCTGTAATTCCTGGACCCAACCTAATAGAATTTCTCTGGGGGCCCTTGTAGTCATCCAAACCTCTACTTCTGAGTAGCTTTCACAGAAGAAAGCCTATAGAAAGGTTCGTCATATAAAGCATTCTGTCATGCACTTTAAAAACTGTAAGCTCTTACAACCTGACAGTTTATTCAAAGCATGAGTTTGGTAAATGCAAACCACATGTAGCTCTGTCAACATGTATATGACTATGAAACATGTATGTGAATTTTCTAGACAAAGTAATGTTTAAAAAATGAGATTCCCATGTATGCATACAAGTTTACTATTTGGTTTTTGTCTTCGGGTATAGTTTATGGTACTACTGAAAATAGTTTTAATATCATTACTCTGATTTGAATTTGTAATATATAATCTACTTTGGGATGATTAATAAAATTTTTTTAATCTCTTGTGCTTTTTGTGTTTGTTTTTGAAATTTGAACTAGAAATAAAATCCACTAGCATTCAAAACTGGTAAAATAGTAGTAATCTTGCCACAAATAACAATGTTTCTAAAATTCAAGATGGAAACCCTGGAGGTCTACACATATACACTGGAATCCAAAATTTCTCAGTGACAAAGTCTGCCACATTACCTCTCTAGTCATGCAGAGTTTGGCTCAGCCACTCATGGTAACTAGGGAAAACACCTACATCATGACACACTCAAAGAGTTCTAGAATGGTCTTTTATAGTATGTGAACTAAAGTCAAAATTGTAAGGAAATATCCTGGGGCATAGAATGACAAGTCTTAGTTTGTACAAACTCAACAATCTATAAAAAGGAATGTGTGTGTGTGTGTGTGTGTGTGTGTGTGTGTGTGTGTGTAGAAATAAATCAAAGAAGGCCTATATAAAGGGATATACTGTGTTGAGCATTAGAAAACTCAAAAGATGCAAAACTTGCCAAAATTAGTGTATAGATTTGGTATGCACCTCCTATAATGAGCTCAGACATGTTTTCCTTAAAGCCTTATTCTAAAATTCATGTGTTAAATTTATCTAGAAGAGCTCAAACCATCTTGAAAAAAAAAAAATGTTTGACTAAAAAGAATAGAAAAAAGAGTGCAGGAGAGATAGTTCCAGCATTAAGAACTCTTCCAGAGATCCTGGCTTCAGATCCCAGCACCCACGTGGTGGTTCACAACTCCTGCTCCAGGGGACCTAACACTCTTTTCTGTTCTGTGGGCACTAGGCACACACATAGTGCACATACATACATGCAGGCAAAACAGACACACCTATTTTTTTTAACCTACTGAAACAAAGAGATTAAGTCTCTTCTCATTTTAACAGGCTTTGACCTTATAAGGGAAATGGTGGCCCCAAGTTTTACCGTGAAGTTGCTCTGTAGAGATGACAGATCTTAAACCCTTGTTTTCTCATTTGAAATCCACTAGCTACAATTTCTGCCTGTTCTTATTACTACTGGCCTGTAAAATAATTTTTAATTATAACTTG